TGTCAAAAGACTCACCATTACACTACACACAAGCACAATTCGTGTACAACTGTATCGAATTTGCCTTACAACATAACTATTTTTCATTTTTGGAGAAGTATTATCGCCAGATACAAAGTACTGTGATGGGCGCTAGATTGACCCCCAGTTATGCCAATCTCTTCATGGGCTACTGGGAGGACCACTTTATTTGGAACCACCCCTTCAGTGAACATCTCATTCTATATGCAAGATATATAGATGATATCATAAGCATCTGGGTCAGCATGGATTCTCAGCTAGCAGGGTTCCTAGACCATTGTGGCAAAAATCCCCATGGCATCTCATTCACCCACGTCATTGATGAAGAGAAACTAGTCTTCCTAGACCTCGAATTGAGACATGACAGCGGGGGAATGATCTGTTCAAAAATGCACTTTAAACCAAATATGGAAACTCCTACCTACATGCAAAATGTAGCCACCATCCACAGTGGATTAAGAATGTTCCGTATGGCCATTTTGTAGGCTAAGATGCACATGCACCTTAAAACAGGACTATATAGAACAGAATCTAATTCTTAAGGATACATTTAGAGAAAAGGGCTACAGTAACATGCACATTGAAACAGCCTTTAATAAATACCTACTCCTATATGAACACCACTCTACAAACTCCAACATCTCAGCGACCTGTTCCAGCCATAAGAACTCCGTGGTCACTAACAACCAGATTGAGGTGTGTTTTTGCATTAGATTCAACAACAAATCCTGGGAGATTAAATCTATTCTGTCCAAAAGTTGGAATATTTTGAAGAGCGACCCCACTTTAGGGTGTTCACTCCCTAACAAAATAATGCAAAAATCGCCCTGTGCTGCTATGGAACCTAAATGTTTATAATGCTGCTCACACCCAATCCTCTGTGCGGACAAATGAATATGATACAATGGTGTAGCGCTAAACATAAAATCCAAATCAATATAAATGTAAGAAAAAACATATCACACAATTGTAATAAATACTGTGTGTGTTCAGGATCTATAAAAATGTCTGAAAACGTGATCAATAATATATTATAAAGTGCAATATATAATAAATAGGTCCTATCAAATTATAAGATCTATATATATATATATATATATATATATAATATATATATATAAAAATAAATGTGACGCAACCCCAATAGTAACACAAAATCAAGTGACTGGTGTAAAATACCCACATGAAATAATATACATCAATAGCCAAGTGTCCAAACAATGCAAAAAAATCTCAACAATTGATGTGTAGCAGTGCCTTTATCTTCATTAAAGTGCTCCAGTGCTGGTGCAAATGGTGAGAATAAATCCTAGATGGCAGGCATGTCCCCTCACCTCCTTGATGCGACCCACAAGGGTCAACACGCCTTTTGGATCTCCCCGGATCCCAAAGGTAATGACTCTCTCCAGGCCACTCTGGTTCCACAGCCCCTTACTGGTAATCTCCTCCAATATAAATCACTCCTTCATATACAGGTAACCGTAGTATATATGCCAATACGTGAATACCATGTTAGGACTGAGGGCAGCAGGTAGGTGAATATGAACAGCACCAGCTCAAACAGGGGTCCTGTTCATGGTGCTGTTCATGTTCATCTACCTGCTGCCCTCAGTCCTAATATTATTAGTTTTTGTTTATTTTTATGTGTACATGTGCATATAATTCTATGCAATTATGTATGTATATGTATTTTATATGTTCTCTTTTTGATCATACAATTCACAATAACGCACACAATAGATTATTGACCAATTCCATGAAGATTTTTTTACGACTACTTTTCGTGATTATTTTTTATACATTTCGGTTTTTCCTTGATTTTCATATTCATCATCATTTTTTATATGCATTCTTAATGTCGCATTGATTTATAAGGACACTACTGCCCCCATTTTACCACTTTTGTTATGCAAATCTCTTGTTGTTACACATATTTCGGACCCCAAGTCCATTATCTTCAGATGTATCCTTATCCTTCCTTCTCGTAGTGAGTTATAGGCCCGTTTGGTGACCCCATCTGGTGAGGGCACTCCCTGTTGTGATCGTTGGCTGCGGTTGGAGCGCAGCACATAGCCACCCCTCCGGTCCAGCGTGGAGGTGCGCTCCACCAGCAGAGGCACCACCCGCCTCCTCGCGCATGCACAGTGGCCTTTCGGACTTGCATTTCAAAGACAAATCCGCCGGGCTGCCACTTACACTGCGCATGCGCTGTTACAGCCACGCTTCCTTGGCGTGCGTTCCATTGCCATCCACTACCATTTACCAGCAGCAGCTATATGGATTACTTCCACTGCTGCACTTGGTCTCCCTCTGCTGATAGCTTGTCACTATACTACACTATCAGTGTCACACTTGATCTCCCTCTTCTGTCATTTTCTATATGCATTTGTAACTTTCATGCTTTACGGTCTTATGCTTGGTTATACATCAAAGGACATGTATTTGTGTTGCTGACATGTTTTTTATGACACCTATGTCCCTCCTCCTAGCCGGGGACGGCCCTACCCAGATGGGAGGGCCCTCATTTAGTCCCATGGTATATATGGTAGGGGGCACTCATTGTGTAGTTCGCTCTTTTGAAGAAGGGTCCCCCTTCGAAATGCGTCAGCCTCACTTTGCGAGTCTACTCTCGTGATGTGACTGACACTGGGTCTACACTCCCTAGTTCCTTTGAGGATCTGAAAGCTTGTTTTACTTCCTTGTTTGTGAGTATATTTATTTTATTTAATAAAATCACAGATTTACTGAGGTAATGCGCAAGGTTTATGTGCTCTTTTTGCTTCACTTCACAGAATCGGTCAGGCTTCCCCACAGCCTTGTTCTAGAGCTGCACAACCTTCCATGCACTGGTGGAATTGTTTCGAAGTTCCTTCGGTCCTTCCACCCCAGGTTTGAGTCCTAGAGCGCAGGAGGTGTTTCTGTATTTGCTTCCAATGAAAAAATGTGGCCTGGTCCGATTAATCAGGTTCTCTTTTATGACATGTGGATGACCGAGTCAATTACCTGGGGAAGAGATGGCCCTAAGATTCAGTATTGGAAAAAGGTAAGCAGGCAGAGGCAGCGAGATGCTTTGGGCAATGTTCTTCTAGGAAACCCTGCCATTAATGTGGATAGTGACGCTTACCACGTACTTAAACACTGTTGCGGACCAAGTATACCCATTCATGGAAACTGTATTCCTTCATGGCAGTGGCCTCTCATCAGGATAATGCGCCCTGCCACACTATTAAAAATGGTTCAAGAACAGTTTGATCAATACGAGTTTGAGGCGTTACTTGTCCTCCAAATTCTCCAGATCTTAATTTAGTCAAGCTTCTGTGGGATGTGCTGGAGCAAGTCTAATTCATGGAGGTCCCACCTTGCAACCTATAGGGACCCTGCAACCCTCTTGCTGCCAGTTTCGTATGTCGTAGAGGGACATGAGATTATCTGACAAGTCTACACCTGCCTGTCAGATAAAAGCATTCTGGCTGCTGCGCTGCCGCCCGATAACACACACCCCCAAAGTAATGTGCACCCCCCTCCCTTGCCTATCTGCCGGGCCTGGGAGCGGCATAGTGGGAGATGCCGGGTAGGGGGAGGGAGCAGAACAGACATGTCCGCTCCCCTCACCTTCTTGTTGCTGACCTGGAAGGTCCCCCTATCAATGTCCCCAGCCCGTTTGCCCGGGAAAGAATATAATGCAGAGTACAGCACAGGGGAAACATCCGGGGTTATTCAGACCCTGGATGTCTCATTAAAGAGAACAGGTCACCAAAAAAATCATCACATGGGGGACATTGTACCCTATGTGATGAAGAAAAAAAAGTAAAAATGCATTGGGTCGCCTATGCATCAAAACATCAATTGCAATACACGTTATGCATCACCACAGATGCCGGCGTGAGCAACATTTCTAGCACCAAACCTCCTTTAATGCTAAACTGATGACCCATATGGGGCCTTTTAAAGCCATGACTATGAAAAATATAGGGTACTGAAGTTTGTCGCCATTTCATGGGCACATGCAAATTTAAGATTTGACATGTTGGGCATTTATTTACTTAGGGCAACCTCGTCTTCTATATTTTACCAAACATGTGGGTAATTTATTGCATTTGTGCGCTAAAACTGTAGTGTATTTTTAACTAAAAGTTTGCGTTTCCTAGTCCTTTGCAGTAATATGTGAAATTGGAACTACCACAATTTTATTCTCTATGGTGTCTGCTTTCAGAAAATGTGTTTTTGGGGTTCTATGTAATCTTCAGGCCTAAAATGCAAAAACGACCCTGGAAGCTAAAAAGGTTAAAAGTATGGGAATAGGTTTTTTTTTTTTATTATTATTTACCTTACCTAGGTGGATGCAGGATCGGTCCAATGCTGCATCTGTCCCCCGCCGTCTCTTAGGGATCACACGATCCCTAATTGCTGAATTCTCACAGCTGCTCCAAACTCTAGGGTGGATCCTGACTTTAAAGTCAGGATCTTTTCCCAGCCTGGACCGGCTGAATGACTTCAGCCTGCTGTCAGCTGAAAACGGGTCACAGTACAAACTGCACTCCTGTGATCCACAGACGTACAGCCAAAAGATCTTTAGCTGTACTTCTCCTTTAAGCTAAAATGTGCTCGTATGCACTGTAGACTGGTCACGGCCGCAACACAGTGCTCTGAATCAACTACATACTCAGTGTGCTCTCAATTCAGAGTGCAGTGTATATGTGACGGTGACATTATCATCTGCTTCCAGTGTGAACATCTCATAAACACCGCAAGTTTAGGAAATACTCACTGCACCTACAGGTAAGCCTTATTATAGGCTTACTTGTAGGTAAAAAGTTTACTATTGCTTTAAGGATGTGCTACCGACGGTGCGACTACGGATACCACAGCATACTTTTTGAAATCTAGTGGTTTTCATGCGTCAACAAGTTAGGGCTGTTTTGGTGGTCAAAAAAGTTATGGCAAATCTATATTTATCTTTCAGAAGTGAAAAGTCTTACCTTTCAATAAGGTCACAGAGAAAGTTGAAAGTATGAACTGCTTCTTCTTTGTCCTCATGCAGTGGTAGCCATGATACCCAGTGGGGCAAGACCTCCTCTACATTTATACAATCAGGCCTAAACTTCATTATTTTTCCTACAGCTGAAATGCAATTTTCTGTTGCATTAATATTCTCTTTGGTTTTTGAGTCAGCAGCCTGGATAACCCGAACAAGCAGCGGAAGAGCTTCTACAATACAAAGAGACAAGAGACTGCATGAAACACCCATAACTCTCAATCCCAATACATATGCATTAGGAAGCCACATACCTGTGCAGAAAGGACGATAGTTATCTCCACCAAACTGAGCCATAACACCAACACCATAAGCAGCGGCCTGCCGGACTTCTGGACTGTTGTCACAGATAGATTGCAGCAGGGGACTTAAAAAGTACTCAGCATATTTGAAGGAAGTAGGACTGCAATGTTCAATTGTATCATCAAAGATACAGAGACCCCACTGTCTGTCTGGCCAGGGCCTGTGAGGACACTGTTAAAAAGGAATAAAAAAAACATAAAATAAAAAATATTAAATACATAAATACATGTGAATTATCTATACATGACGTTTTTACAGATGCTCCTGGGAGCGTCAGTATTTTTTTTTTTTTTTTGTTTTACACACTGCCTCTAAACCCCTGCATGTTAATTGGATGTGTTCATGCAAACAGGATTTTAGCAGAATTTTGTAGCAGGAAAGTTTCATGGCAGGAAGAAAAACACCACTGCCAAGGCATCCTGGAGCAGCAGCTGTTTGGTTGAAAAATGTTTGACTCGCTTAAACGTGTCTAAACGAGTGTTAATGCTAGTTATTCTGGCCAATGAAATTAATGCCCAAACGCTTGACGTGGGTAAACACGTGTAAATGCGGTACACACTTTCACAAGCGTTAAGCTTTTTTGGACAAAAACACTGCTGGCTTCTAGGAGAGTTCTTTATTGCCAGTGTGCATGAGGCTTTAAATGAAACGTTGAGCTGTACGAATCAATTTTTTCTGCAACACTATCTTATAGGGATACAATACAAATTGACATTTAAAAAAGGCACAGTCCTGACAGACCTTTATTTCCTAGAATACAAAATCAGTACACCACTTAATCTATTTTAGCAGTATGTACAGCAAAAAATGTAAAATCTTAAAGGGTCAGCTTTTAAAAAAAAAAAAATGCTAAAAAAAAAAAAAAACCCCCACCCTTAACTGGATAGCATTAGATTGGGGGTCGGCAACCGGTCGATCGCGATCTACCACGGGCCGGTGACAGGCAGACCTGCGAACCCCCCCCCCCGCTGCTGACATTCTCAGTGCACAGCGGAGCATGGAAGACAGCATGGCTCAGGACAAACGAAGGGAGAAGGAGCTGGCCAAACAAACTTTTCATATTAACCAATCACCTCTGGGTTAATATGAAAAGTTTATTTGGCCAACTCCTCCTCCCACTCTCTGTCCTGAGCTGTGCTGTCTTCCACTCTCCGCTGTGCACTGAGAAAGTCAGCAGCAGCGGAAGAGGCTGGGGGAAAGGGGGGCAGAAGACATTGCTGGGGGGGGGGGATGCTTTGGGGGAGAGAAGAAGGGTGCCAGAGATCACTGCTATGAGGGAAAGGGGGAGGCGGAGGACATTGCTATGGGCCACCCCTATAGCAGTGTCCTGTATCGCTCTTCACATCACCCATCCCACCCACACAGTAGTGTCCTCTGCCCCCATTTCACCCATAGCAGTGACCTCTTGCCCCCTTGTCCCCCCCCCCCCCCCCAGAAATGTCCTCTGCCCCCTTTACCCCATAGCAGTGACCTCTAGCCCCCACTTCCACTCCCCACCAGCAGTGTCCCCCCCCCCCCCCCTTTTCCCTCCCATGGACAAATATTTTTAAAATCTGAACTCCCACCAAGTGGCTGGGGATCGGGATTGTTCTGCCCGATCTCCAGCCACTTGCTGGGAGTTCAGATTTTTACAATACCTGCCTTCCGACAATTCCCTTTTATTGTCCTCCTGGAGCAGCTGAAAGCTATCATCTCCTCCTCGCCCTCCCGCCAACGTACAGCTTCTGCAGGATGAAAATCCAGGGGATCGGTTCTAGTAAACGCCTCCCTCACTGCCCCTCCCATTCATGTTCCTCCTTTTTTTCTGCTGCCTGGCCCTTCCCCCACGTACCCCCCTTTCAACAGGGGTCCTAAAGATATAGTGAAAAATATAAAAAAAAATTTAAATTTCAAAATAAAAAAATGTTTGACACCATCCACTGCCCTACTGACTGACACCGTCCATTTTTAAGGTAGGCCAAGTCGTATTTTTACAGTGACATTTGTTTTATTTTTCTACGTTTTCCTTGCTAGTTTTTTTTTTTTTTAAATGGTGCTGAACCCCGGTTATCTTTGATCTCTCATGTTGTTCAGGTAGATCTCCACCTCTCAAAGGTTGCCTTCTCCTGCATTAGATGAAGTTGTCATCCTCTTAGTACTGCACAATGACTGAACACAGCACTTTAAAGGCTACTATTGTACAATTCAAGGATGCAAGATTTATATTGCACAATGCCCAGAACATGCAGTTTAAGGTGCAGGCAGATGGGTATTGTTACATTTATCCCTACTGCGGGCAAGCGGCCTCTTAATCTGGGTTCACACATGTACTGATGTTAAAATGTCATTTCGGTTTCTGTGCGATTTTGCCAGCTATCACTGACTTCAGCGCAAATGTCGCCTCCCACCGACTTCAGCGCAAACGTCGCCTCCCACCGACTTCAGCGCAAAAACTCCTGTCAATTGCAATCCTATGTGAACATTTATCTCTGTGTGCCACTATCACTTGCGAGTCTGGGATACCAGACCTTGATTTGACTGCTCAGCAGGCGCTAATACTGAACACCCAAGTGCTTCCATGTGCAAGGGTAACCTGCAGGAATATTTTTTTTTTCTCATTGTGGCCGCCACTTAATTTTTGTTTTTTTAAACTCGCTCAGCTGGTGAGTTTCTGCTGAGCATTAAAAGAGTCTGACGCCTTTCCTGATGCACACCCAATCAGTGCCCATTACACTGCAAGGTATCTCCCCTCCCTGCTAGTCCCTGGGTCCCCGAGACATTCCTAAAAGCGCCTCAGATTTAAATATATTTTGTTAAAAATATTTTTTTTAAATTAGTATATAAGTGGATTGTCATGAGGGACAAGTCTATTGGGACAATATTTTTTTTTTTTTTTTTTTTTAATTTCCACACCCCAGCAATTAGAGTACAGTAAAGACTTCTATTAGCAAGTTTAACAAGTTATCATGTATACAGAAAATAAAATTGCACAGAAAAAAAAAAAATTGCCCCCCCACAATTATACTTTCCTAGGTGGTTGCAGCATTGGTCAATGCTGCATCTGTCCCTCCCGACTAAGTTCTCACAGCCATCGTGAGCAGAGAGTGGCAACTGCAAGCCGCTGAGAGCCTAAACCAGCAACTTCCCTCTCCCTCCACAGCCCAGCACTCCAGTGAGCACGGGGGAAGGGGGGGGGGGGGGGTCTCAGTGCAGACAGTGGAGACTGACAGTCACCGCTCTCTGCTCAAAGCAGCTGTGAGACCTCAGCGGTCATGTGATCGCACAGTTCTCACTAAGCCAGCAGGGGACTGATGCTGTATCCACCTACGCAAGTATAACTGGGCAACTCCCCCCCCCCCCCCCCCCAAAAAAAAAAAAAAAACAACTACTTTTTAACACTGTGCTACTTTAACTGGTAATCATTAATCTTTTTTTTCACACACAGCTTTTTTTTTTGGTGGCATTTGATCTCTACTGGGTCTGTTGAGCGTCTACAAACTGGCTGGGAAGGGTTTAACATCAGAAGGTAATCAAGGGGTTACGTGTACATCTACTATGTGTTAACATGTGTAATAAGTGCTGCTTTTTACTAAATATTTGTTTGTTTCTTCTCCCTGCTTTCGTGGTCTTTAGGAAAATCAGCAGATCTCAGCCACGAATCACTGGCTGAGACCTACTGACAAAATCCCACTGTGTCCAATCACAGCTCTGAGGAAGGGGGTTTAACTGCCAAAACGCATTTGCCTTCCAACAGAGTAGTACATGAATCAATGAGGTCATCTACAGCTGGAGGTGTTTGACACGCCTGTTTTTATATGCGTTTGTGAATACAGAAATCAGGGAGGAGTCCAGGTATATTTAAGATTTTGTCAAGCCAAGCTGTTTCCTAAGTTTGGATAACATGAGTAACAGAACCAGTCACAAATTTACTGCTATTCAGAGCTCCAATACAAAGATCTCCCTCACTCTCTGTCATGCTGGCAGAAAAACAGAAAACACAGAAAAATAGACATCTGACTTGCCAGTAAACTCCATTTCCTAGTGTACAGAACAAGACCGAGGCTTTTTTAAATAGTTAAAACTGGGTTATATGCAGCTACCTTCAGGTATGTGGACACTATAAAAAAAAGGAAGGCTGCAGGGACATCCCCAAACCCTCCCAGTTAGCCTTACTTTTGTAGCAAGCAATAGGGAGATTAGAAGAACAGAGCAAAGAGGGTTCTGTGTCCTATACTTCAGGAAACAGATTTTACTTTTAGGAGAAAAAATAAATCTACCTGATTGACACAGGAGTCTTTAAATATTTACGACTATGGCATCCAAAAGCAGTCCAACTGAGGTAGGTGGGTAACAAAGCAACAGTTTCAACAAGCCCACATAACAAACACCTCAAGAAGGGCTAGACAGGCTCAGAGCAGCATACAGCACCTTATGCCCAGAACTGCCATCAGAGGAGGCTTGAAAATCCACTTTTGTAGAACTTAAAAATGTTAACAGAAACCCAGGTGGCAGACTTGCCAACCTGCAAAATGGAATCCTAATGCTAAAAAGCCCAAGAGGCACTAATATATCTGGTAAACTGTCCATAAGAATGGAAGGGAGGAACCCTTTACTATTGAAGTTATTAGTCGTATCTGATCCAACTAGCAACGGGGAAATGAGAAAAGAGAAGACCCTTGCGGGAACCATCAGGATGCACAAAGCGGGTTCATATTTACTAAAAGCAGCAAATCGGAGAAGTAAACCCTCACAGCATGCAGAAACGTCCCCAGGATGTTTTGGAGATGCACATAATGAAGAAAGGACAATATCCTGATTAAAGGTGAAGGTAAAAAAATACCTCTATGGGGCAAGGAGGACCGGACCTTTGTCCTGCAACATTAAGGAAGGCTGCTTACCCAGAACCACCACCTCACAGAGGAGAGTCATCAGAAAGCCTTGAAAGCATTTTCCTTTTGGTACAGGGATCTGAGTCATCTTGATCCAGGAGTTGTTGGACAGGACCAAGCAGACTTGCCTAATGTGATGGGTTTGAAAGCATAAAGCAGGCACAGAGCAAAATTCCAGTTTTCAACCTCTAGAAATGACACTCTGGAGACGGAAGGCTAATAGGAGTCGGTCTCTACATTTTGAGATGTACACCATTACAGTGAGGGGGCCTTGCTATTTAATTGACCTGATACCTGGTGAAC